AGAGAGAGAGAGAGAAAGAGAAAGAGAACACGCGAACGAGGAAAAGAGAGAGACACACGTAGGCACTTGGTACCAGGTGCCTATACCATCGCGTCACCATGCTGGAATAACGGTGCCTGGATGTCTCATCGGGTTCAATCGCAATCGGCAATCTTCCACCGCGGAATTTCGCAAGGAAACGACCGTTTTGTCGTCGTGCTCGTCTTCGTCGATTTACGAGCGGCCGCTATTCGTCCGCCCTTGAGTACCGATCGACCCAATGGCCCCCTGGCCGTGTCGTTTCGTCCGCCGATGCGTGCATTACCGACCACCCGTTTCTAATAAAGTTCCCCGCTGTCGTCCCGTTTAATTGCTCTCTTTCACGTGACGCGTTTCCCATCCTCACGTGGTCACCGTGCTTTTATTTCTTCGATGAGACTGTGGTTTTTATTTGTATTTAAAAAAGAGATTAGCTCGACGGGAATTGTTTCAATTAGTACCCATAATTCAGTCGGTTCAACTCGTAAGAAGTAATTGTTTGCAAATAATGTATTCTCGAGTCACGAGAAAATTATGTCAGTCATCGTTTACAAATATAATAGCTCACTTCGAATTTTACTCGAGCTTCGCGGGAAAGTCAGGCGATTAAGTTCACAAAGTATTACATAGTTAAACGCAACCCCTAATCACGAATAATAAATTTCATATTAGTCCGCGCGATGTGACTAACAACATAATTAACGTATAATTAAAACGTAATTCCAACAACCTTATCGCCAATTTGTTTATTTATATATTAAACGCGAACTAGTCTGACCAGATTTCCAACTTGTTCAACTAGTCGAGCGGGGACGTCCGATCGCATTGATTTACCATCGCGTGAAAATTTTAAACATTATCGAAAGTGAATAACACGAGATTCCTGCCTGGAAAATATTCGTTAAGCCGGCAACACATTACAAGGAAGTTTTTTACACCATAAGAAATTTATCTGGCATACCGCGGAGTACGCTGTTCATATTTTATCGAACGTTTTAATATTTAGACTTTATAGTTCCACCTACGCTGGGACTTATGGATTTTCGATATCTTTCAGTCTCTCCTCGCGACGCGGCACGTAATGCCGCGGCGTCGCCGCCGGTTATTTCAAGTTTCTCCTTCGATTCAACGTTAACCGAGCAAATAAGATACCGTAATAATGCTTGACTATGTAACGAGGTTAGAAGCGGTTCAATTGATATTCGCGCGAGTCGCTCTAATGCGATCCAATTATTTTAGTGGCCGGGAAATAGATTGTATCGACCAATATGTACCGGGCTGACTGAATCGAATGGACGACTGGTGATTCCGAATGGAAATTTTACTGCTCTATCTCCTCGTAATGACTTCGGAGCAGGCCAATTAAAAAGAACTGCCCGCCCACTCTGTCGAGACTGTTTTCTGTGGCGCTATAAGTGGAAGGGAAGTCGTTTGAAAATAAATAACAGGGAATTACGTCAGGGAATCGTCAATTACGTAGTATTGTATTTTTTCTATCGCGTTTGTC